GTTTCCATGCATTTGCACAGTCCTGCCTCCATTCCTGAAATGCCTCTATCTCTCTTATGTGTTGAAATCTTTCTCTCCTTCAGAGCTCAGCCCTAGTATCATCTATTACCTGACCTTTCCCTGATTTCCCCAGCTGAAAGTACATAGTAATGGCATTTACTTGTTAAACAGAATTGAATTGAATGGGAGGCTGTCCCTCGCAAGGGTACAGGAAATAAACACCAGAAATCACCATTAATTCTGTTCTCCACACTAGGTATCTGGACTTCATCCACGTCATGACCTATGACCTCCATGGCTCGTGGGAGGTCTACACTGGAGAGAACAGCCCCCTGTACAAAAACCCCAGTGACACCGGTGGCAATCCCTACCTCAATGTGGTGAGTGAAGCCCCTGTGTAGACTCCAAAGAAGACTGAAGAAAATTAACACTAGGTTGGGGCACAAAATGCACTGTCAATCAGCTCTCTGATCAATTAATCAACTGATCATTTCTAATACACAGCAAAGACATTCAATTGTTATGCTGGGGAAACTGATCAATTCATTAGTAATTAACTATGCAATGTCAAGCTTGTGAGTACCATGACCACCACCCTCACTCCTACTACTGGAGGCAGCTCGGTGACACAGTAGATAGAGCCCTGGGCCTGGAGTCAGGAAGACCTCCAGCCTCAGACTCTCAACCATTGTAGGACCTAGGCAAGTCACTTAACCTCTGTTTGCCTCAGTTTCCTCTACTGTAAAATGGGGATTATAACAGCACCTACCTTGCAGGGGTTGGTGCTCATTTGAGGATCAAATGAGATGATATTTGTAAAGCTCTTAGCTCAGTGCCTGACACATAGTAGGTGCTATATAAATGCTTACTCCCTCCAAACTAGAGAAAGGGAAGAGAATAAGGATTTATACAGCACCTATGATGTGCTAAGTGCTCTACAAATATATAAGCATTTATACAGTGCCTACAATGTGCCAGGCACTGTGCTAAGTGTTTTACAAATCAAATCTCATTTAATACTACTACTGCTACTACTAACTTATGTTTATATAGTGTTTTAAGGTCTTCAAAGCACTTCACATATCTGCTTTGTTAATTTGACTGTGTCAGGTAGGGCGGTAAACTAATAATTAAGAATCTGACTCCTGGATGAAATAAGTGTTCATTCATCCATTCATTTATTCAACAATCACTTATTAAATTCCTATTGTATGAGAAATGTTGGATTGAATGCTGAGGAAGACAGGAAAATAAATTTTAAAAATTTCTTTGAGGGTAGATTCTCAAAGAGCATGTAACACTAAAGAAGAAAAAAGACATTTCTCTACTCATTACGATACAATTAAGTATAATTAATTATAGTTATTAATTCTAATTAAACATAATTAACTATTATACAAGACACAATATAACATGCTTAAGAGAAGTACAAACTTCTTGGTAGCAGAGCCTCACTCTGACCACAGAGAATGTCTGAAGTTCTCATCTGGAGACTATAGGAGAGCAAACATTCATCACGGAATCATGTCCTCAAACCTTCCAGGCCAAAACTTACAGCCCAGTTGTTATTAACTGGGGAGTAACTAGGGAATTCTTCAAGAAAGATGAGGTATTTGAACTGAGCCCAGAAAGATAGACCAAGTTTAAATGCGCTTCCATTGCAGGATTATGCTATGAACTATTGGAAAAACAATGGCACCCAAACTGAGAAGCTCATCGTTGGATTCCCAACTTACGGACACACCTTCACCTTGAGCAATCCTTCTCAACACGGCATTGGTGCTCCTGCCTCTGGCCCTGGTGCTGCTGGGACCTACACCAGGGAGGCTGGCTTCTTGGCTTACTATGAGGTAAGTGTCTAGAAGCTGCATAAAAAAGGGGAAAGACTATTGTTGACTCTTCTACTTCTGAATAGAAATGTAAAGGGTTGCATATTCCCAGTGATGCTTAGCCTTCTTACTCTGTCCCATTTTCCTATAATTCAAAGCAGAAACTAGGAGGGAAAAATCATAGATCTAGACCTAGGAGAGACCCCAGAGGCCATCTAGACCAACCTCTTCATTTTAGAGATAAGGAAACTAAGAATCACGTGAATTCTTCACGTCACACAGAAAGTAAGTATCAGAGGCGAGCTGTGAACCTGGCTTCTCTTACTGTCTTTCCATGGTACCACACTTCTTCCTGTTGTTCTTTTGTGTCTTAGAATGGCACTGGAAGGCCAGAAAAATCTGACTTTTAGATGGACCCTCACCCAGGCCACACAGAATATCTGAAATTCTCATCTGGAGACTGTGGAACAGCAAACATTCATCATGGAATATTTGTAAATCTATAGAGTCCTAAAAACTGCCAGGCCATACCTTACCCAGTTGTATAGAATCATAGAATGTTACACTTTGAAGGGATCTTTGAAATCATCTATCTGGACCAGAGGGTTCATAACTTTTTTATACTATGAACAGCCTTTGGCAATCTAGTGAAGTCTATGGGCCTCTTCTCAGGGTAATGTTTTAAGTACGTGAAGGAAATGCTAAGTTCCAGTTAAAGGTTGATAAAAATAAAAATGCAATTTTTTCCTACCCCAAATTCATGGACCCTCTGATATATCCCAGGTTAAGAACTCCTAACCTAGACAAATCCCTTTCTCTACATCTTTCAATATTTTCCTTATAATTACTGAAAATAAATGATCCAAAATTTGTTAAAGGATTAGAATCCTGATGTGAAATGTTCACAGATAGGATTACATGCACTCTCCTTGAAGTCATTTTCACTCAGCCCCTTTCCTGAAAACTTTTCTCAAACTCTCTGCTATTCTCTTTTCTCAGATCTGCCTCTTCCTGAAGGATGGTGCTATTGAGGTGTGGGATGATTATGGGAAAGTTCCCTATGCTTACAAAGGCAATGTGTGGGTTGGTTATGACAACCCCAAGAGCTTCCAAATTAAGGTAGAGTATTTCTCTGAGCTCCCTTAAGTCCATTCATCTCTATTTGAATCCCAAAAATCTTAGGAGAATCCAGGAGGGCCTGGATCAAACATCTGTCCTGCCCCCACAGGCTGACTGGCTGAAGAAAAATAACTTTGGAGGCGCCATGGTCTGGGCCATTGATCTGGATGACTTCACTGGGACTTTCTGTAACCAGGGAAAATACCCCCTGATCAGCACCTTGAAGAAAGCCCTGGGTCTGGACAGCGCAAGTAAGTGGGAGCTGCAGATGTGCCCAGGGTCCCAAAATGCCCTTTATCTACTTCCCACACCCTATAACACATGAAAGATAACTCAAATAATCAACTGCTAAATGTCTATCCCCATTCTTCTGAGAATCAGATCTTCACATCTGTCCTTATCCTGGCATTGTAATGTCAAATACACAACTTACAGTGTAAGTGGAAATCAGTGATGGAGGAGGTGAAAAAAATGGGCAGATTTGATGACTTTGAACAGTTGTAAGGTAAAATGATGAACTGTCATGGGTTGGATTTATGGGGACACAGACCTAGAGCTGGAAGGGACCTCCAGCATCATCTAATTCAACCCCCTCCTGTTACAGATGAAAAAGAAATTGAGGCCCAAGGAGAAAGAACACTGGCTCTGCAGTCAACAGTCCTGTATTCAAATCCCACCTCCAGCATTTAACTACATGCTTGACCTTGAGCAAATCATTTAACTTCCCTGGCCCTCAGTTTCCTCTTCTGCAAAACAAGGCAGTTGTAATAGTTGAATTCTTGTTATTTTTTAATCGTTTCAATAGTGTCCAGCTCTCTGTGATGCTATTTTGGGGTTTTCTTGGCAAAAATACTGGAGTGGTTTGCCACTGCAAACTCATTTTACAGATGAGGAAACTGAGGCAGAGTCAAGTGACTTGCCCAGGGTCACACAAACAAGTGTCTAAAGCTGGATTTGAACTCATGAAGAGGAGCTTTCCTGATTCCAAGCTAGATTTTTT